TAGAAAAGAAAAAATAAGAGTTGTCACGACGTAATTTTTATTATTTTTTGAGCTCGAGCATAGTCGTAAAAGAATTTTTAGTACATGGTTTATATAATAGTACCTCAGCTCGAAAAACATCCAACGCAAAACCGTTGAAGCAGCTAATAACGGCTTGTTGAACATCGAGTCCTAGGTTGTCCATAGCCCTCATCGTCGAGAGTAGAAGCCCCGGTTTGCACCCACTCAACATATGTATGCTCAAACCTCTCCCTTCTCGTAGCCTCACCTCAACCTGTTTAATAAATTCACAACATACAAATAGATTTTTTATATAAAAAAAATAAAATATTTTTTTATATTTTTTTCTCGATAAGGATTATTTAAATTCATATATACCCTCGAGGGTTGACCGCCGGTGGGGCTAGACAGAGGAGTTGGAAATGCAATTTGGGTACGTTGCTCTTCTTTGAAACGGGACGGAAATACCGGTGCAGTAGGTGTCGGAGGGGTGGATTCGAGCTCGTTGTTGAGGTCGTTTATTTTCTGCAGAAGTTCTTTTAAGTAGTCAATTGCATCACCTAGTATTGAAGTTCTGTCCATCTGCCAAAACAATAAATCAAAACCATTAATTAATAACCATGTAATTTTGTACAATTTTAATATAGATTTTTTTCACTAATTTTGTCCGATTTTTATTTTTTTCCTTGTACGAAAACATTAGAAAGTCACGCGCAAACCACGTGCATCGGAAGTCGGAACTAGATCTTAAGAAAGAAGAAAAGAAATGAAAAGAAAACGACCTCATGCTAGGAGAAAACACCCCTAAATTTAATAGGTATGAAAAATAGTTATTAATATTGTATATTATTTAGTATATACCTTTTGTTATTATAAACTATTTATATAGTTTTGAATAGATGAAAATGAACTCGAGTTTCAATTAAGCCGACCTGACTCATTTACACCTCTAGGTCGTAGTTCAATTTCGTTTTTGGTATCTCAACAATGAAGAAATTAAAATCCAAAGTGAGTAGTGGCAAATTTTGTAACTTTTAAAATGACATAATATCTTAATTAATATGCTATATGTGGTCCAGAATGCAAGATGCATATTGAGATGAAGTTCATATATTTCATGTGAGTGAATTAAATGCTACAGCACAACTTTAATATTCATCCCCCTCAACCAAACACACATATGTCAATCCAAGATTTGTTACTCCTTAATGATAATAATAATAATAATAATAATAATAATAAAACATAAAATATACTAAATAATAAATAAATAAATAAATAAATAAATAAATAAATAAATAAACAAAGAAAAATGTACAATAGACAAAATAAAAGCTCAATGAATGCAAATTAATAGCTAGTGAAAACTATATTTCATGGCTAAAACGTGTAGTTGTAATTGGATCAAGGATTTTGAAACAACAATAATAAAAAAAAATGTATTTCCTTGTAATAATAATAATATATATATACTTATCTATATACTCATATTCTACGATACGTGTCGATTTTCACCTCTATACAACTATTAACGATTCAATAAATACGATTTGCTTTTATGAAGATATACATTTTTAAACTAACGGTATAATTTGTGTGCTGGAGACATGATAGCTAATAAGGGTAGAAGTGGAAAATATGTAACCAATGCAGTATTTGAATTTTCCAATGACAGATGTTACGGAACAAATGAAATAATTCACAAACAGATAAGATCGAAATGGCGTCGAATTTTGTACCTTGCTAATATTCGGCACGACCGACCTAAGCATGAGGAGCCTATCGTTTAGCTTCTTCCTGCGCCGCCTCTCGGCCATCAAATTCTTCGCCGGAGGCCCTTTTTTCTTCCCCTTTCGGTCGGGCCCACCGCCGCCGCCGCCGGCGACCGTGCTATTTCCGTTCGAGCTACTCCCACCATTCTTGCCACTAATCTCCTCCAAATCATTATAACTAACACCAATATTATTATTACTATTGCCCAACACTTGATCATCATCATAATCATCATCAGAATCATAACACAAATCATTATTATTAGTGCTAACATCCTCCAAATCATCCCCTAATCTCCTCTTATTTACATTATTAACCCCACTAATAGTAGTGGTACTTGGAGATTTGCTATTACCACCCCCAACACCACCTAAATTCAAGCACCCCAAATTGCTATTGCCAAGCACGTTTTTCCTAAGGGCAGCCCTCTTCTGAAAGAGAGTTGGCTGTGTGAGATTATCGAGGGGATTAACAACCTTAATCCTGTTATTAGTAGTGTTCAAGAACAAAGAATCGTAATTACTAGTATTGGTAAGGAATCCGCCGCCGTTGAAATTATTATTGATGGAGCCCATTTGAGGGGATTCGGATCCGAACCCGGCAGCCTTGATGAACGCGCTCTCGAGGTACCCGTTTTCGCAACCCGATTCGAATGCCGAGTCGAACGGGTTCTTGGCGGCGGGGGGTTTCGGCGGGAGGAAGTAGTTTACGGCCTGGTGGTGGTGATTGACGGCGTTGAAAACTGAGGCTGATGTTGGAGAACACGTGGCGGAGGAGTAGTCGACCGGGTGGAAGAGGAGGTGGTCGTTGTCGGCGGCGGATTCGAGGTTGAAGTTTGGTGAGAATGAGATTTCGTGCATGGCGGCGGCGGCGGCGGCGGTGGTGGTGGTGATGGGGTCGTGATGATCGGTTTGGAGCATGGAGTTGAATGTGTAGAGTGAGCCCATTTCTGTTTCTTGTTTGCTTTGATCGTCGAAACCGCCGCCGCCGCCATTGGTGGTGGTGGCGGCGGTGGTGGTGGTGGTGGTGTTTTGAGGCCATGAAGCTGAAGTTAGCTGATTTTCAACTTCACTTCTTCCAATCCAACCCATGCTGTTGTTTCTTGACAGCATCCTCTGTGTCTGTGTGTGTGTAAGAGAGAGAGAGAGAGAGAGAGAGAGAGAGAGAGAGTTATATATGTAGTTGCAGAAGGGAAAAAGGAAAAGGGGAAATGGCTTTATAAGGGAAAAAGAGAAGTGTCGTTATTTGAGTCTAACAAATTTTAATACTTCTACAATACAAGCTTCCATCTCTGCATGTCATTACATAGGGACTAGGAATATTACACACGTCATATATATATATATATATATATATATATATATATATATATATATATATATATATATATATATATATATATATATATATATATATATATATTAGAACTACGATAAATTAATATTCAATAAATTAATAACCTCACTTAAATAATAATTTCTCTTGATCCCGAATCGGTAAGAATGTGTTAAATTATTAACTCGATAATTTAATAATTCGCTAAATTAATAGAAGTTTCCTATTCCCGACTGTATTAATTTATAGAGGTTATTTACCTATATATATATATATATATATTAAAAAAATAATTATAAGTAGTATATTTTAAATTTCTAATAATTTTACAGCCCAAAAAAAAAAATTTCAATTTTGGCTCCAAAATAGTGTTTTATGTTACTTGCTAACGGGCATGTAATGGAGAGGACCGAAAGTGTTTAAAATTGAATCGTAAAGGTGGAACTTTGTTCAGTTTGAAATAATGGGAACCAAAAGTGGAATCGAGCCAAACATGACGGACTAATAGTGTAATTCTCCCAAAATACATGTAAGGTAAGTTGTTGAGGAAAAAGTAGAGGTGAATAGTGGTTTTTGGTTTTGCTTTTTGTCTGTAAAAATTAGGATATACATAAACTAATGATTACAAATCCAGCTAATTAATTAACTTTGTTAAGAAAAGGGAATGAAGTTTGTTGTGATATATTGTGAACAAAAACTGCAGAAAAAATGCTTCAACTCAGGATTAGTGTGAGTGCATGTGGCCCTACTCACTGATTTTAGGTAACTATGTTGCTCAACTACAAACATGATTTTGCTTGTTGGCGTACACGTGTGACAAGCTCCAGCTATCGACTGTTGGCTGATGAATTCGAACATTGATTAATTGACACAAACTCACTTGCTCCAACTGTTCGGTCGTTTCTTATAGGACGTAAGCATTTTCTTTTTACGCAGATATTCGAATGATTTAGCTTTGATTGTGTAAAAAGACGGACGAGGTTGCATTATATCTTGATTGTGTTTTATCTTTTAGGATAAACTTGTCTCTTAAGACGCTGAGTGAATTCGTTCGAACTCACAATATAGTCCTTTGGTTTATAATTGTTATACTACATCGATGCACCACTATATATATACGAGATTACGAGATTTCATTGATTAATTAAAAGTTAGATTTCGTTATTTTAGTTTATTATTTTGTTAATTTATTATCTTGAATTATATCTAAAATCGATTGATGAAATTTGTAAGTTGAATAAAATTATACTATTAGTATGTTTTTCCTTTTTTTTTTTTCCTTGTAAGTTGTAACATATTTGGATATTAAATAGTAAAGGGTTTTTTTTTCCTTCTAAATAAAGTAATATAATTTTAATAAAATATTTTAAATACAATAAATGACCAGTTTTTTGTATTAAAGAAACTAAAGCTTCTAGAGGTGGGCAAGTGTGAATGTCACTCTCGTATTTAAAAATAAATAAATAAATAAATAGTTGGATAAAAAGAGAATGAAGATATATTTGAAGCTCTCACGAGAAACCCGGCTTTCGTATCTTTCTAACTTTCAAATTATCAATTTAATGAAACAAATAAAAAAATACTATTCCATGCACGAAATTTATTTTGGTTTTTGAATTCTATTAATTACGAGGGAAATATTTGAATTTGGTGTAAGAATTTGAAGTGGGATTTCAAATGATTTTAGAGTGAATTTTCAACTTCATTTTGATGACTCAAAATATAATTTTATAATATAAGCTGAGAATTTTTTAAATTAATTGTTGATTGTTGTTATAAATCGGAGATCACTAGTTTTAAATCGTTCAATTCTGGCTAATACAATATATATATACAGTGGCAGAACTAATATGTACTAAGAGTAGGGGTGGTTTCGGTACGGTTACCAAACATTTTGTTCAATACCGTGTACCTACCGTATCTTTCGGTATTGAAAAATTCTATACCGTTACCGTACCAACAATTGCGGTATACCGTTATTCGGTATACCGTTAGTTTTGGTACGGTATGATCGGTACGTGGTAATCTACCGTACATCATTTTGTTGATGAACTCGAATACAATAATTAAGATGAATACTAATTAAATGCATAAATACAACAAATTAAGCAAATGAATATGGTAATCAAGCAATTTACATGAATATACATTATACGACCGTAATAGCGTATGTTGCTTCAATTAACTAATGATCACTAAGATATCTATAGAAAAATTGTAGAAACTAATGAGCAAAACATTTTCATGGTTTAAGTAAGATAAAAAAAACTTATGTTGTAATAATGCAAATGAAACAAAAGGGTGGGAACTTAGGGGGGGAAAGAAAGGGAGAAGAATATTATGGCAAAAAATATTCCACCAATAAGAGATTAGTTGGACTTTGAAACTAAAGAAGTACGTGAAATAAACAACTTTAACGAGAACTAAATTAAATATTAAGTTTGCATAAATATATGAAAATAATAAAAAAAATAGAATTATGTATATATAATATATATGTGATGTATCATATCTTTATTCTTGTTTTTTTTTTTTATAATATTTGTTGATTATATTTTTTATATTTACAATATAAAGGGTAAAATATATTAACTAATTTTTAAAATACAAAGTTGCGGTACGGTACGTAATTACCATGGTATTGAAGATACAATACCGCTACCGTACCGTAAGATAATGGTACGGTACCGATACCGTACCAAATGTAGTGGTAACCGATAGTTCGGTATTTTTTCGGTAATTGTTGGTAGGTATACCGTGGTAATCGGTATTTGGTAATTTTTGCCCAGCCCTAACTAAGAGTGTGTATTTCAAATTTATGGAGTTCAAGAGCAGCATTTTGAACTTGTTTTATATATAGGTTCATAAAAAGATAACAAAGAGAGAGTAAAATTATAGTACATAAAGGCATAACTCAATACATGAAGGTAAAAAAGTAATTAACAATTGAAACTCCTTAAAATGTGTAATGAATGATCCATAATGTGTCGGACAAGTGTTCTCGAGTGTCGGATACAAAATGTGTCCAAAACACAGAAACATTAAAAATTTGAAGTTAACGTGCTACATAGATATTAATCCATTGAAGAATATAGGCCATTGTTTAGCCCTTGAAAAAAATGAATCATTGCTCCTAATTTTTGCTCTGGAATGTATTGAACTCTATCATTACAATCAAACCTCTATAAATTAATTACAATAAAAATCTCTATAAATTAATACAGTCTGAACTAACAAATATTCTATTAATTAGCGAAATATTAAATTATTGAACTAATAATTTAGTACATTTTTACTGAGTCGGGTTGGAAGAAATTATTATTCAAGTGAGATTATTAATTTATCGATGTTCTACAGTATTAATGAAGCTTTACCTTGTTGCTTTCAAGAAGGGGAAAAAAACAGAAAATAGAAAAGAAAACTAATTACTAATTAGAGAAAACTCGATTTTAAATTTAATTAAACGAATATATGAAGGGGATCACTATTTCAAATATTAACTTTTGCTTACTTGAATACCAAAAAAATAAAAAATAAATAATTAATTGTAAATTACTTTAATGCCCTTAATGAAAATTAAAACAAAAAAATATTACAAATACTATTTTTCTTTCTTAAATACCAAATAATCAAAAACCTAAAAAAAATATTTATCTCCTCACTCACAAACCCCTCACCTCCTCCACCTCCTCCACCTCCTTCTTCTTCCTCCCCAAAAACCCTCCTAAAAAACCTCAAAACAAAAGAAATCAAAACCTTACACAACTTGCAAAATGGCGTCAAATGACAATAGAATGGTAGTTTACGAGCAATGAGAACCCATTCAAGTATATATTCATGTATTTTTTGAGCTAAAACATCGATTTTGATTTTTTTTTTTTTTAAAACTCGCCATGTATTTTCGACACATACAGGTCGAAAATACCCTTATTTTTCGACATGTATGTGTCGAAAACATAACAATTCATATTTTATTAAGTTTCGACACCTAAGTGTCGAATTTTGATACAATTTTCGACACCTAAGTGTCGAAAATTACCCATATTTTCGACACTTATGTGTCGAAAAAAAAAAAAAAAAAAAAAATTACACAGATCTAATTTGACAGGTAGCTGTCGAAAATTGGTTGAATATTCGACAGTTAGCTGTCGAAAACTCATCCAAATTTCGACAGCTATCTGTCGAATTATCAAAAATCCCATTTCATTCACATTTTTCGACAACTATATGTCGATTTTTGATGAATTTTCGACATCAAGCTGTCGAAAATTCATCAAAAATCGACATATACAGGTCGAAAATTGTGAACGAAGAACCAACCCACGAATCTCAAATCAATGCTCGAATCGACTGAAATTAGATGCACCCATTACTAATTAACGATCATTTCTACCTAAAACAATCAAATCCTAATTACCCATATCAAACAATCAAATCCTAAGTAAATATTAAAGAAAAAAAATTCGAAAAAAATTATTACTTGGATGAATGAAACCGGAACGAAGAAGCGGCGGCGGGTTGATAACAATAGACGAAGAAGCGGCGGCGGCGTCGTCGGCGGCGGCGGCGGCGGCGGCGGCGGCGGGGGGGGTTGAAGAGGGTTGGAGTTTTTTTTTTTACAACAAAGGGATTTTTTTCTTTTTTTTTTATTTGGTTTTTGATTAGGTAATTTCTAATAAAATTTGATATAATTGATATTTTGTATGAAAGGGGTGTTTTTGTAATTTTCTTTTTATTTTGGTTTTAAAGTAAGAAAAAACTTATAAATATGTACTCAATTGTGGTTTTCAACTTGGTAGTATTCAACTAAGCAAAAATTAGTATTCAAAATAGTTGCCCCCATATATGAATGCATTGAGCAAGGACGATATTTTTATAGTTTTTATATAAATAGGAGTATATAGGACTAATGATGAAGAAATTTCAATGGGCCTTCCAATTTCATTTAGCCCAATAACTTAATTATTAGCACTAGACTATGTTGCGCGTCGGGCCGG